TTAAGATAGATAGAAAAATGAGAATGAGATAGATAGATAGATAGATAGATAGATAGATAGATAGATAGATAGATAGATAGATAGAAACATGAGAATGAGATAGAAACATGAGAATGAGATAGATAGATAGATGGGAATGAGATAGATAGAAACATGAGAATGAGATAGAAACATGAGAATGAGATAGATAGATAGATAGATAGATAGAAACATGAGAATGAGATAGAAACATGAGAATGAGATAGATAGATAGATAGATAGAAACATGAGAATGAGATAGAAACATGAGAATGAGATAGATAGATAGATAGATAGATAGAAACATGAGAATGAGATAGAAACATGAGAATGAGATAGATAGATAGATAGAAACATGGGAATGAGATAGATAGAAACATGAGAATGAGATAGATAGATAAATAGATAGACAGACAGACAGATAGAAACATGAGAATGAGATAGATAGATAGATAGATAGATAGATAGATAGATAGATAGAAACATGAGACTGAGATAAATAGATAGACAGACAGATAGAAACATGAGAATGAGATAGATAGATAGACAGACAGATAGAAACATTAGAATGAGATAGATAGATAGATAGATAGATAGATAGATAGATAGATAGATAGAAACATGAGAATGAGATAGATAGATAGACAGACAGATAGAAACATTAGAATGAGATAGATAGATAGACAGACAGATAGAAACATTAGAATGAGATAGATAGATAGATAGATGAGAATGAGATAGATAGATAGACAGACAGATAGAAACATGAGAATGAGATAGATAGATAGATAGATGAGAATGAGATAGATAGATAGATAGATAGAAACATGAGAATGAGATAGATAGATAGATAGATAGATAGATAGATAGATAGATAGAAACATGAGAATGAGATAGATAGATAGATAGATAGATAGATAGATAGATAGAAACAGGAAAATGAGATTGATAGACAGATAGAAACATGAGAATGAGATATATAGATAGATAGATAGATAGAATCAGTCAATGAGTAGATGGATAAAAAGAGTTTATTTTCACGCTAAAATTCAGTCAATACCGGCCTCAAGAACCAATCCAGGTATAGGTTACTGTAAAAAGGCTACTGATGAATTACATGAGTACATTATGAATGTAAGAGTAGGTCTTTAGGAAGTGAAGATTATAAGGATAAGGGAGAAACATAAAGACTGACATTGTAGTTGACGAAGGCAAGATTGTATTGTTCAAAGGAAAACGCACGTGGGTTACTGTAGCAGTCCTTTAGGATAAAGCTCTCTGAATGGAAACTTTCCTTTCACTGGTAACATGGAGGAAATGAGGCTGATTTGACTCCCTGGAAGTGGTTTGGTGTTTCCTAGCTGTAAAGCTCTGGACAGGTGGAATTGAAAAATAGAGCTCTGAACGTTTGCCATGGAAATAGCGTTAGGCTTGCGATGGCAACGTTACTCTATAATTTGATAAATCTTGACATGAGAAAAGATTTCGGATATAATCCGGGCGTGATAGAAAGAAACATTTGCAACGTATCATATATGAGAGATCCATTTGGAGATGGACATGAGCCACAACAGACGTTCAAAAGCATGGCACTTTATTGTGAGTGTTGCCCTGAAAATTACGTCGAAACAGTGAGAAACGAACGTTTATCATACGCATGCTACAACAGAACTTGACAAGCTCTAATTCTCGAGCGAATATCTGTTTTTCTCCGTCATTGTATGGTACTCGGACAATTGACCGACGGACATTTGGCTGAAAATCGAGTGGCGTACTTACATGTATGTCACACTTTTTATAGTAATCTGCGATATATATTTATATTTATGTACTATGTTAATTTATAATTCTCCGTATTTTTTTTTTTTTTTGTTTATTTGAGCGGGGTGACAGGCTTTTTTAAAGATCTATTCTGTATATATTATATTTTACTTCAAATATTACTGTAAGATGATAAGTATTTTGAGAAAAAGCACATTTTCCTACAGCAAAAATCTTAAGCTTTTACGATATGAAAGATCTTTCAATTTTGCTTTTAATGATCTGTAAGTGATCATTATTTTAAAGGGATGAACTAGCCTTTCTCTTACTGTTAAATTACGAATTTAAATAATTAAATGCTACTTTTTGTCCAAATATTTTTAAAATGCTAATTTCAATAAACAAATATTGAAATAAGTTTTAACTTTAAATTTAGACTTAGTAATTTAATCACTTAAAATTCAATGGTAATTATTACTTTTATTCTACCTTATAATACTGCTAATTAAAATACTTAAAGTATTCCTTGTTACTATTTTTACTTGTACTTTTTCGATGAAATACCCGTCGGCCAAATGTCCGTTGGCTAAATGTCCGACCATGCTTTATATCCGCCCCGCCTCCCAGTCAAGATGCAAATGGCTTTAAAATCACTCTACTATGTTAACACACCATTTGGGTCCTCTAAATCCTTTATTGAGCAGACAAATTTGCGCTTTATTTTATCTTTTTCGCAAAATTCTGTGCAAGAAAATCTCTTATAATCGCTTCAACAAATAATTCCAAATGACAGCTTCATTTTAAAACTAAACAAGAATACCATAATCAAAAACCTGCTTAACATTTTGGCTAATTACCGTTGACAATTTTAATGATTTCCTAGCCAATCAGTGCATTTCCTCGGCGATTGTTAGCTTTTTACGAAAGCGAGACATTTCCTTGTTTTCTGCATTTAAGAATTCATATTCGTCTGTTTTTTTTTTCTAAAGAATATCTGTTGTGTTGTAAAATAATCATAATCGCAAAGATTAGAGCCACAAAATCGAATAAATAAGCACTAATCCAACGTAATATTTATTCAGATACGGCACAGGGCAGAATCTCTGTAAGCACCGAAAATAAATAACCAGTGATTGTTTGAACGAAACGAACTTACTAATATTGAATATTATTGAGATTTAAAACCCAATTCTTCAAATTGTCTACCTAGTTTCTTTTTTCTGATGTTTTATGGGTTTAAGTGTTAGAAAATGCGATATGCCTTCTTCTGAGAGTCTGAATGGTAACAGTAGAGGTTTCCTTATGAGGAAATATTCGCATTTATTGACAGAGCAGTTTTCACGAATTCACTGCTATCGCTCTTTCTAGTATTGATAGAGGTTTCCTTCCTAACTTTTTGTTTAAAGTAGTGTATAATGTCCGCATCTTGATTCTGTATGTATTTTATTTTTTCTACAATTTTGAGAGTTTACTTTTTTTTTTTTGTTTTTTTTTAACCTGCAATGAATGAATTAATGGGAGTAAATTGAATGTTCAGGTTGTCTGAGATTTTCCTGTAACATTTCCCTTATCTCCAGAGCTTAGCAATCAGTTCTTTTTGCGAATTTGTCAATTCTTTACCTCTTGCCATGATGACAACCTCCTTGCATGAATATCAATTACTTAATGTTATGTTTGCATATTTTTACGCTAAAATAACCACTGATAACATTACTGGAACATTCTACAATATTCCACTTGAATAATCTTAAGTATTAAAGCAATTTAAAAGTTTTAAAATTTGAAATTTAAAGGTTACGAATAGTTTTTCACCAATTAAAATGGATAAATGGGATTTATTTCTATTAAATCTATGTATATTTAGTTATTATGCATCTGTGCACATATATGAAATGTATGTTTATTCATTTGTTGAAAATAAAATAAATTAAAAAAATTTATGTGTACGAATATTTGTTTCTCGCGGTGTATTTAATATCACACACACACACACACACACACATATATATATATATATATATATATATATATATATACCTTGAATAAGTTCTCGTTACAACAGATGGCGTTCCTAGAACTACGTACGTGTAGTTTCAGATGGCAATGCATCTATTAGGAAGTACTATAAGCAAGTTTGAAATTCAGTGTGTCATTTCTCCGTAGTGTAAAAAACTTTGTGATTCATAGTGTTAAACATGTCGGACTTTGTTCCAAAGAATGTGTATTTGCATGGAATTTTACTGCACTACTTTATTCAAAAGAAAACTGCAGCTGGAGTCCACAGAATTCTTGTTGAGACTTACGACGACCAACCTCTCGCGGAAACAACATGTAGAGATTGGTTTAGATGCTTCAAAATAATGATTTCGATGTTGAAGATAAAGAAAGTTGTGTCACACCAAAAAAGTTTGAAGAGGAAGAATTGTGAAAGAATTATTATGAGTTGATCACACAACAGATTCGAAACGGTTGAAAGTACAAGGAATGATCCAAAAGCAAGGAGATTGTGTGCTGTACGAGTTGAAGCCGAGAAACGTCGAACTTCATCTTGTCACGTGTGAACAGATGCTTCATAGGCAGAAAAAGAAAGGTTTTTGCATCATATCTGTGACCGTCGATGAAAAGTGGATACACTAGAATAACCCTAAACGTAGAAGATCGTGTGGTAAGCCTGGCCATGCATCAACATCGGCCCTAATGACGAATATCCATGGTTCGAAGCTTCTGCTCTGCATTTAGTGGGATCAGCTGTGTGTAGATCATTACACTATCAACTACAATTGATGCATTTGTGTCGAGCATTGAATTAAAAAAACGACCGCTATACGAGCAGAGACATGACAATTAGATTTTACACACATGACAACGCTAGGCCACATATTGCAAAACAGGTGAAACGTTTAAATAGGAAGTCCAACAGCAGGAGCTGCATTCACCAAACATTACCCAATCCGATAATCTCTTTATTTGACCTATGGTACATAGCCTAGCTGAGCAGAAATTTCATTCTTAAGATGCCAAAAGATAGGTCGACTAGTAACTAACATCAAAAGACGTGTTGTTTCTCCAACGTGGGATTTAAATATTGCCAGGAATATGCGAAAATTAGTGGTTAGCAATGGATAATATTTTAGTGACATACTTCTTATTAATTTTTGTAAATAAAACATTACTCTTTATGAAAAATCAACGAGAACTTATTCATGTTCCTTATATATATATATATATGTGTGTGTGTGTGTGTGTGTGTGTGTGTGTGTGTGTGTGTGTGTTGAATTATAAATATAAAAGTGAACATTGAAGTCAACACTCAGAGGCGACAGTCTGTTTTTGAGACGCAATCGTCAGACCAATATATATATATATATATATATATATATATATATATATATATATATTTGATATATATATATATATATATAATTTATATATATATATATGTATATATGCATATCTTGATATATATATATATATATATATCAAATTATGTATATATAATGTCAATATATATAATTCAATATATACATATATATATATATGATTCAAAATATATATATAATATCTAAATATAGAATATCAATGTATATATATAATATCAATATATATGTGTGTGTGTGTGTGTGTATATATATATTTATATATATCTAATATCAATATGTATGTATATATCTAAATCATAATATGTATATATCTCATATTAGATGTATATCCATATTTAATATTAAACATAGATGTGTGTTTGTGTGTGTAACATCTTAATATATCTCAGCATATATATCTATAATATATTTTATACATTTCCTTCCTATTTTATGTGTGTTTTTTGTACGTGTGTATGTTTGCTTGCTGTTTTCTGTCAATAGTTTTTTTTTTTAATTCTTTCTTTCAATATATTTTAAAGATTTTTCTATTCCTATCCAGACAATTTCTGTTTTTTTCGTTTTTTATTGTTTGTGTGTGTGTGTGTGTTTTCGGGAAATTAATTGATTTTTTCTTTCGCTTCATTTCAATAAAACCTGGGCAAATTGTGTGCGGAAAAATCCACGAATATAAACCAAGATCATTACCGACTAACACCCGATTATGTGACAAAATATTGTCTACCATTAATACCAGTCTGCCATCAACATATATAATCATATTCGGTGGTTAGAACAACAGGCTAAGAATGTAAATGTCTCCATTGTTTTTGATAAATATCTGAA